TATATATATATATATATATATATATATATATATATATATATATATATATATATATATATATATACACATTGTCTTGGTCATAGTGTTTTGTCATGGCAATAGAAAAGTAAGACACACAGTAAGGTCAACTTACTACCTTTTTTTAGCATGTACCTAAGTCTCTCGGGGCCTTTAGAACACACAGCTAAAACTAATTATAGAATAACTGGGATCAGGATCCAGATTACCTTATGTGCAAAGCAGTATTTTTAATTCTAGTATGCTTTTTGAACAGTGTAGGTATTATTAGATATATAAACATTTTTTTTTGTTTTTTTGTTTTTGTTTTTGAGATGGTTTCTCTGTGTAGCCCTGGCTGTCCTGGACTTGCTTTGTAGACTAGCCTGGCTTCGAACTCACAGAAATCTGCCTGCCTCTGCCCCCCTTAGTGCTGGAATTACAGACATGCACCACCACACTTGGCTATAAAAACAAAATTTGATCATGTACAAAACAGTAGAGGACAGGGTTGTCAAAATATGAAAATATTTTAATGGAATGTAAATTTTAGGTGTCTTAGTAAAGCTCTCAGTCAAAATTGGTAGCAAGAATATGACAGTAGAGAGTGATGATTAATGAGAATTTCTTTTTCACTAAAGAGTCACTTGAGCTTAGAGAAGCAGCAGAATGTTGTGGAGCAGTAGTTCTCAACAAGTGGGTCACAGTCCCTTTGGCAGAAGTATATCTCCAAAAATATTTGCATTCCTATTTATAACATAGCAAAATTACAGTTATGAAGTAGCAATGAAAATAATTTATGGTTGGGAGTCACCACAACATGACAAAGTATATTAAATGGTCACAGCATTAGGAAGGTTGAGAACCACTGTTGTAGAAGCTTGCATTTGAGATAGGGGCTCTGCTGCAGAATGGGAGAAGCCTGTTAATTCCTGAGAGTGAAAGATTATTGTTGCCATTCCCACCCAACAAGCCTTACCTTTCATATTCATATCAGGAAATGGGGTGATAAAGAAGTGGAGCATGGCAGGGCTTAATTATGCTGTCCAGGAGAAGAGGTTTTTTTTTTTTTTTTTTTTTTTTTTTTCTTTTTGTTTTAGGTTGCTTTTTAATAGTTAATTGGAGGAACATGTCTGCTGAAATGATCTATGGACTGCAAGTTTTAAGATTAAATGAGTCCATTTGTTCACATTGAAACAGCAGTGATAGAAAAATGAATGAGTGTGTTATTCTAGTAATACAAATATTATATTTTACTAAAGAGAAATCATTAACTCATATAAAATCAAATCTTTATTTTAAAAGGTTTCCGGGAAATGTTTTTGTGACTTAATATCTGTAATATTGGCACAAAAATTTTCCAACATAAAACATGGCAGCTGTTACATGAAAAAGATCACATATTTAGCTGAAAATCATTTCTTTAAAAGTGATTTTGATAAATATTAACTGAGAAAAGCTGAAATGAAAAGACTATATATTGTGTGATTCCAAATATATGACATTCTGTAAAAGGCAAAAAGAGTGGAGATAGTAAAAGAAAAAAAGTAGTAGTAAACACAGAGCGGTAAAAATATTTTCTGTGGTCCTGTAATGATGGATCTTATCATTACTACCTTTTCTAAAACCCATAGGATGAGCAATGCTGCAACTGAACCTCAGTGTAAAGGAAGGACTTTGGGTAGTAATGGTAGTTTATCAGTGGCAATGAATGCATTGTTCTGGTATGGGATGTTGGTAGCTGGGGTGGGTGTGCTTGTGAGGGTCGAGCACTGAGTGTATGAGAAATCCCTTTCCATGGACTTAAAGTTACT